ATATTATTATACAATTGTACATGAGTAAACGTGTTAAAGGTAAGTTTTAAGTTGACATTGATTCGAACGTGGTTTCGGTGGTGGCTATCAAATACTGCTTATGGTGTCTTGAATAAAAATAGTCTAGGTACATAACATCATGGGGAAGTATTATTGTTAACTAATCCTTACCAATACGTAAACGTCATACGTGACTTTTGAAGTTGTCGTATGTTGTGGCTCGTCTACTAAACACTTCAAACAGGGTTGTAGGTTATCTCACGTAGTGTTGGTATCAGCAACTACTGTGTAATAGAGTCTCTGAAATTATGGGGGAATTTATTTGTGTTCCTTAAAATAGTGGAGTAAAGGGTGCACTAGGGAGAATATTGAAGTCATGTGCGGGAGGGTCTCATGAGTTGAAAAAAAAAAAGAGTGGTGATAACTACAGTGTATGACAACAAAAGAATCTCGCTTGGGATCCTTGTACGAGGAAATTGTATTTGAGTGACTTCAAACGACAATGATGACCTAGTAACAAAATAACACATGGTAATAGGGAGAGGCGTCAATTCACGAAGTATCGATATTATCTAATTGTAAGAAAAAATGATTTAAGAGAACAAGCGAGCAAGATAAGCGAGTGTAACAAAGACCATTTATCATTGATTACCCAAATCGTTGATTTTGTCTTATACGCGACGTTTCTTAGTAGAACGACATCCATTATGTGGCGTTGGAGTTATATCGCTAATCTTGGTTATTATAAGACTTCCTAATTGTAAACCACGTAAGGGCGAAGGCTTTCCATAACCTAAATCTTTTATTCTCACTTCAACTAACTTAATTCCTAATGGAATAGCATCACGCATTACATTCTCAGCAGTAGCTTGAGCAACATAATTGGTTGAACGACGAGATCCTTTAAATCTCATTGAACCATAAGAGGACCAAAATTTTGTGTCTCCAAAAGAATTTGTTATGGTAATTATAGTGTTACTTAAAGTTGATTGAAACAATCTTACCACATTCAAACATTTTCTATGCTGCATAGAAGTCATTACTTTACGTTTAGCTAGTACTAAAAAAACAACTCCTAGTAAAAGTGGTATTATTATTCAAAGAATTTTGGCTAAAATGCCAATTATATACAATTTTATTTTGTTTGCTGTTTTTTTAGATGTTGTCAACACATGAAATGAAATAAGTCATTCCTCAATTTATCAAGAAAAAATGATTTAAGAGAACAAGCGAGTAAGATAGACGAGTGTAAAATAATTGAGTTTATGGTTCATCATATTAGATAGGTGTGACAAAAGGAGGAAAAATAACCTATCAGAATAATACCATAATCAATAACCGCTCCTTTCATCATTGGAATGTTATTAAGAAAAAAATATGAAAAATATAAGATTATACTATAAAAGATGAGTCTAAACTGCCCGTAAACGATAATCATTGACAAACCGAAGGTTCCACGACATAGAAATTTCATGAATTAGAAATCTAAAATTACGTTTTTAAATTATGAAGCTTCGTTCCGTCTTGAAAAATATTATTCAAATTTTAAAATTTTTCGTCTTATTTAAAAAATTTCCTTCCAAGAATGGGGTATTGTTTTTTATTTGAACTGCATGGTAGAGATGAAAGAAAGTTGGGATACGTTCATGAAATATTGAAATTGGGCAATCATTTTATTATAAGAAGTTTCAATCATAAATAAGTTAATCTAATTTAAATTATATGATATTTGTTGTAATAAAATAAAATTTTAATTGATTCATTTCATTAACTTTTTCACACTTTCATTCCATCTTTTATAAATAGATATACGTAGAAAATAAAATTCATTTCTTACATAGAAACTTGTTTAATAAAAAAAAAAAATATTGAAAAAACTTTTCGCATTATTTTTTAAATATAAATGATTTTTAACAAAATGAGCGTTTTGTTATCTTGCATTTCTTATGAGAATTTTTATGTTTCACTTTCTAAATTGCATAAATTTAAATGGTTTAAAAATTAGTCATTAAAACTGGTTAAGCACATAACATTCTAGAGGCAGATTATTCGTCATTTTTTTCCTATAAAAGGTTTGTCCATAATGTATAAATCATCACGTAAATCTAAATAAAAATCTACCCCCTTCACATTTCCCATACGCCGTGTGACAAAAGTGTTGTTCATTCGAATGATGACGTGAAGCATAAGATATGAAGAATGTAAATGGAAAAAAACGTAAATTTATTAATCGATGAGTTCTTATAGCGAACTTTATATTAGAGAAAACATGAATAAAATAATACGAACGAAATCTGAAAAAATCCAAAAAAATAAATAACATAGTTTTTTTTTTTTTATAGACAAGTGTTGTTGAAGGAGACCACCAAAATAAGTAATAGCTTAAGTCACAAAGGAGAAAGTAAAGAAACACCTATGAACCTTACCTTCCACAAGTGAAAAAATGGAATGAATGTTAAATTTTGTGACCTGCAATAATTGACATATGTTCTTGTTAAAAACTTTACGTCGAAAGTGTTTTTACTGACCCGTGAATAAATATGTACGCCTCCCTGGTATCCGAGGTTGATTGCACATGTTTAAGTATTATCTATTTGTCGATGTTGTTGTTTTGTATATCAGGATGGATATAATCGTGAAGACAAGAAACATCATTATAAATCAAACTTGTAAACACAGCGACGAATATGTAAAATTGAGAGAAATTGGTAAATAGGGAAGTTGGCAGAGACTTTACGATGGGGTAATGATGACACAAAAATCAATATATCATAATAAGGTCAGACACATCCGGTCCGAAGGAGAGCGCACTACCTAACGATCTCGGAAGGGCCGACAATAAGTCAAGTATCACTTTGTTCCGCTATGAATTAAAGTTAGTGTAGCAACCGAGAGACACGAGGAAGCCTCGAGAGAGAGAGAAATAACCTGCATAGCTATGAAGGTGAATAGAGGGTAAGAAAGAAGGGATAAGTAATGATGATTAGTAGTAATGTTTATGTTGGATATGTATAGGAAGAAAAAGTTAGATCAAATTATGAAGTATGAAAGAGAGTTAAGCAATGAAAAATACTTAATTATATATGTGACAAATAAACTCATGACCAACGCGGTTTTCAAATAGGAGTTACGGGTCAACAGAAAAACATGTTCAATCGGGGGTATATGTGAAGTTTTAGATCAAAACCGGAATTTATGTATACCTATTCCTTTAGAGTATTCTGTTAAAATATAGTGAGAAGTTGAGTAGTACAACAACCCCGACCGGATAACCTCATATTTGACCTCCCGTTTATCTGAAATTCCGGATAAACCGAAAAATGATCCAGGAAAAACGAAGGGAATTTATTTTTCCCCGGGGTTTCATTTGTGCTGCATATAGGGTACCCAAGATAAAAAAATGGTGGTGTTTTTGTCCCTATACCGTTTTACTCCTCCTCCACCTCCTCCTATTCCTCCTTGTCTGCCTCCTCCTCCTCCTTCTCTTTTTCTTCCTCCTCCTCCTCTTCATCATCGTCCTTCTCCTCTTCCTCCTCCTCTTCCTCCTCTTCCTCTTCCTCCTCGTCCTTCTCATCCTCGTTCCCCTCCTTCTCGACAATCAATCAATCAATCAATCAATCAATCAATCAATCAATCAATCAATCAATCAATCAATCAATCAATCAATCAATCAATCAATCAATCGTTCGTTCCAATCGAATCGAAGAATTTGATTGGATCTTGATTTTCATTCAATCAAGATTCAATCTAATCAATCAATTAAATTGATTGATTGATTGATTGATTGATTGATTGATTGATTGGTTGGTTGATTTAAAAAAAAAAAAAAAACGCAGGGGGTGGGTCGAAGTCCGCATCGACAACGTCGCTGCCATCCCTATCCTCCTCCTCCTCCTCCTCCTCCTCCTTCTGCTCCGCCTCCTCATCCCCCTCCTCCTACTCGTCGGTGTCCCCCTCCTCCTCTTCCTTTTCTTCCTCCTCTTCTTCCTCATCTTCCTCCACCTCCTCCTCTTTCTTTTCTTCCTCCTCTTCCTCCTCATCTTCCTCATCTTCCTTCTTTGCAGATTTTGTCTTCCATGACCACCGTCCTGCTGTCTGTATCAATCAAAACCCTTTGTTGTGTCCGGGCAATCGCGCAGTTTGACAGCGTAGCTCGACTTTCGATTCATCCCACATCGTCAGTTCTTCTTACCAGAAATTGCCCACCTAGAGCTTTCATTGATCTTCGAGGTTCGTTAAAACAACCCCTTCCCCTCACTTTTTATTTTGTTTTATTTAATCAATTAATCAATCAATTGATCAATCAATCATTTCAATCGAATCGATTGATTCAATTGAATCTTGATATCAATTCGATTAAGATCCAATTGGATAAATCAATTCAATTGGAATGATTGATTGATTGATTGATTGATTGATTGATTGATTGATTCAATCAAGCTATCCTGAGGAAAACTTCAGAGGGAAGCAACTATTAGACGGTTCGATTAGTCTTTCACCCCTATATCGCTTGACTCGTCGTTCTCCTCCTCCTCCTCTTCCTCCTCCTCTTCCTCCTCCTCTTCCTCCTCATCTACCTCCTCCTTCTCCTCCTCCTCCTCTTCTTCCTCTTCTTCGGCCTCCTCCTCTTACCCTCCTCCTCCTCCTCTTCCCCCTCTTCCTCTTCCTCTTCCTCCTCCCCCTTTTCCCCCTCTTCCCCTTCTTCCTCGTCGTCCTCGTCCTCGTCTTGTACTTCATTTCCCTCCCCGTCTTCCCCATCCTCGTTCCCCTCTTCCTCCTTGACAATCAACCAATCAACCAATCAATCAATCAGTCAATCAATCAATCAATCAATCAATCAATCAATTAATCAATCAATCAATCAATCAATCATCAATCAATCAATCAATCAATCAATCAATCAATCAATCAATCCAATCGAATTAATTGATTCGATTGGATCTTTATTTTCATTCAATCAAGATTCAATATAATCAATTGATTTGATTGATTGATTGATTGATTAATTGATTAATTGATTGAGTAAAAAAAAATAAAAAATTAGGGGGAGGGTCGACGTCCGCGTCGACAACGTCACTGCCGTCCCCCCCCCTCTCCTCCTCCTCCTCCTCCCCCTCCTACTCGTCGTCCTCCTCCTCCTCCTCTTCCTCCTAGTCCTCATATTCCTTCTCGTCTTCCTCCTCCTCCTCCTCCTCCTCCTCCTCTTCTTCCTCCTCCTCCTCCTCCTCCTCCTCACCCTCTCCGCCAGAAAGCTCCTCCGCCTTCTCATCCTCCCTCTCTCCACCAAAAAGCTTCTCCTTCTTCTCCTCGTCTTCCTTCGCGTCCTCCTCCTCCTCTTCTTCCTTCTCCTCTCCCTTCTCCTCCTTCTCCTCCTCCTCTTCCTCATCCTCCCCCTCCTACTCGTCGTCGTCCTCCTCCTCTTCCTCCTAGTCTTCATTTTCCTCCTCGTCTTCCTCCTCCTCCTCCTCCTCCTCCTCCTCCTCCTCCTCCTCTTCTTCCTTCTCCTCCTCCTCCTCTTCTTCCTCCTTTCCCTCCTCCTCCTCCTCCTCCACGTTGTTCTTCCGCTCCTCCTCCTCCTCACCCTCTCCGCCAGAAAGCTCCTCCGCCTTCTCATCCTCCCTCTCTCCGCCAAAAAACTTCTCCTTCTTCTCCTCGTCTTCCTTTGCGTCCTCCTCCTCCTCTTCTTCCTTCTCCTCTCCCTCCTCCTCCTCCTCCTCCTCTTGTTCCTCCTCCTCTCCCTCCTTCTCCTCCCCCACCATGACTCCTCCTCCCCCTCTCCGCCAAAGCTCCTCCTCCTTCTTATCCGCCCTCTCCTCCTACTTGTCATCGTCCTCCTCCTCCTCTTCCTCCTCTTCCTCCTCTTCCTCCTCTTCCTCCTCCTCCTCCTCTTCCTCCTAGTCCTCCTCTTCCTCCTCGTCTTCCTCCTCCTCCTCCTCCTCTTCTTCCTCCTCTGCCTCTTCTTCCTCCTTCTCTCCCCCCCCCTCCTCCTCCTCCTCCTCCTCCTCCTCCTCCTCCTCCTCCTCCACGTTGTTCTCCAACTCGTCCTCCTCGTTTTGCTCCTCCTTCCCCTTTTCGCCAGAAAGGTCCTCCTCGACAATCAACCAATCAACCAACCAACCAATCAATCAATCAATCAATCAATCAATCAATCAACCAACCAATCAATCGATCAATCAATCAATCAATCAATCAATCAATCAATCAATCAATCATTCCAATCGAATCGATTGATTCGATTGGATCTTGATTTTCATTCAATCACAATTCAATCTAATAAATCGATTCGATTGATTAATTGATTAATTGATTTAAAAAATAAAAATGCAGGGGGAGGATCGACGTCAACATCGACAGCGTCGGTGTCGTCCCCTTCCTCCCCTTCCTCCCCCTCCTCCCCCTCCTCCCCCTCCTCCCCCCCCTTCTCCTCCTTCTCTTCATTATCCTCCTCCCTCTCCTCCTACTCATCGTCATCCTCTTCCTCCTCTTCCTCCTTTTCCTCCTCTTCCTCCTCTTCCCCCTCTTCCTCCTCTTCCTCCTCTTCCTCCTCTTCCTCCTCTTCCTCCTCTTCCTCTTATTCCTCCTTGTCTTCCTCCTCCTCCTCCTCCTCCTCCTCTTCCTGCTTTGTGGGTTTCGGCTTCCATGACCACCGTCCTTGTGTCTGCATCAATCACCACCTTGTGTGGTTTCTGGGTTAGCGCACGGTTTGTCAGCGTAGCTCAACTTTTGGTTTATCCCGAATCTCTAGTTCTTCTTACCAGAAATGACTCACTTTGAGCTTTCATTGATCCTCGAGGTTTGCTTCAACAACCCCGAAATCTTACTTATATAAAGTTTGGGAATAGGTCGAGGGTGCTTCACCCCCGAGGCCGCTAATCATTCGCTTTACCTAATAAAACTGTTCAACAACTCCAACTGTCACGACGGCAACTGACGCGGCGGGACGAGGATGAGGAGGAAGAGGAGGAGGCGGGGAGGGAGAGGATAAAGAGGATGAAGAGGAGGAGGAGGAGGAGGAGGGGGAACAAAGCGAGGAGGAGGGGAAGGAGGAGGAGGAAGGAAAGGAAGAGGAGAAGGAGGAGGAGGAGGAGGAGGTGGAGGAGGAGGAAGAAGAAGTAGAAGAAAAAGAGGGCAACACGAACACGATGAGGAGGGGGGGAGGATGAGGAGAAAAA